GCGGGGGGCCCCCCCGGGCGCGGGGGCCCCCCGGCGGGGCGGGGGCGGGTGCTTCCTGTTCGCCGTCGTGTTTCTGATTTGCTTCATCTACGGCGGCTACCTGAGCCTGGTGCTGCTGCCGACGGCGCGGGCGTGCTGCTGCTGCTGGGCGCTGCTGCTGCTGGGCGGCTTCCACGCGCTGCTGCTGCTGCTGCTGCTCGCCTTCCTCCGCGCTGCAGCAACAGACCCCGGCGCTGTGCCCCCCAACTGGGGCTTCTACATGGGCGACGAAGTCAAGCGGAAGAGGTACTGCAAAGTGTGCAACGTGTGGAAGCCGGACAGGACGCACCACTGTTCGGCCTGCGGCCGCTGGTGGGCTAGGGTTTAGGGTTTAGGGTTTAGGGTTTGGGGTTTGCGGGTTGGGGGCGCGCTTCGGAGGGCTTGGCGGGGAGCGGGGGGAGGGGGTTGGGCGGCGGGAGGGTTTGCGAGGGTTTGGGGGAAGGGAGGGGTTGGGAGGGTTTGCGAGGGTTTAGGGGGTTTCAGGGAGCTTGGGAGGGTTTGCGAGGGTTTAGGGGGTTTCAGGGAGCTTGGGAGGGTTTGCGAGGGTTCGGGAGGGCTTACGAGGGTTTACGGGGTTAAGAAACCTCGGGAGGGTTTAGGAGGGTTTAGGGTTTACGGTTTAGGGGCAAGGGTGGGGCGGGGGCTGAGGCGGGGGGTTTTGAGGGTTTAGAAACTGGAATCAAGGGTTTAGGGTTTGGGGGGAAGCTTAATTGTTGGAGAAGAGTTAAGAGGGGGATTAAAAGGGGTCTAGGGTTTAGGGAGTCTAGGGGCTTGCGAGGGTTTCGGAGGGTTTGAGCGAGGGTTTACCAGGGTTTGAGCGAGGGTTTGAGCGAGGGCTTACGAGGGTTCGGGAGGGTTTGGGAGGTTTTAGGCCGGCCTGGGGGCTAGGAGGGTTTGGAAGTGTTTAGGAGGGTTTAGGAGGGTTTAGAAGGGTTTGAGAGGGTTTAGGAGGGTTTGAAAGAGTTTAGGGGTTTTAGGAGGAGGTTTAGGAGGGTTTAAGAGGTCTTAGATGGCATGAGAGGGCTCAAGACGGTTTAGAAGGGTTTAGAAGGTTTAAGAGGGTTTAGAAGGGTTTAGAAGGTTTAAGAGGGTTTACGAGGGTTTAGAAAGGTCTTTAGAAGGCGGTTTATGATTTGCTTCTTATGCATTTCTTGTTCTTTCATCATTTGTTTATTTATTTATAATTTATTTATTATTTATTTATTTATTTATTTATTTATCTATTTATTTATTTATTTATTATCATTTATTTATTTATTTATTTGTTTGTTTGTTTATTTGCTGCTGCAGCATTTTAAACATGGACCACCACTGCCCCTGGATAAACAACTGCGTCGGCTTTTACAACAGAAGATTTTTTCTGCAGCTGCTGCTCTATTCTCTTCTTTGTCTCACCATTGTGTTTGTCCACACGTGAGCTGCTGCTGCTGTTGCTGCTGCTGCTGCTGCTGCTGCTGCTGCTGCTGCTGCTGCTGCT